CACACACACACACTCTCTCAAATGTCACCTCTGTGCGATTTTGTTCGCCTCTAAACTGGGGTACAACAGGGGCAGGGCAGGGTATACTGCATAGACACATAAGAAACAAGAAAGAACATTTTTACAAGAAGGTTTTCCTCCAACTCAACATACTCAAAAATAACCGTTGAACAACCCTCGACACCACTTACATTAGGAGGTTCTCTTGGACAGAAGGAAATCAGGAAAATGTTTGAGATGTGACTAAATATATCTGACCAGGCCATTGCCAGAAGCGTCAGCTCCCAACTGAACTACAAGCCTCACCATTTCTTTTTACTAATTAGAGATCCACAGAGTGCTTTTCATCTTCATTATAACCCTCTGGGTGGTGCAAAACCTCACAAGTAATGAGCTTTACAAAACCGGTGGAAAAGGAACTTTATGAACAATGGGGAAGTGTGGGTCATTTATGGAATCAGGAGACAAAGGACTTAACTGCATATTTCTCTAAAATAGACCAGACTTTGGCAAATAAACATAGACCATAAAGTCTTAATATAACTGATTAAAGCCATAACAAGGTATTGAAACAGGAAGCATTGTTACAGTTTTGAGAGCAGTTTGGGGCTTTGGGGGGGGGGGGGGTTTATCCCCATCACCTCACGCTAAGGGAATAAAGACCATGACCACAGTGAATGGATTAATGGATAAAGAATAAAGGGGAGAAAGAAAAGAGGCTTACACTCCAAAAACCCTCAAACATGTTCCTTAGAGTTTGCATGTACTGTTGGCCAGTGAGTTCAAGTGGTGGCATTGTGGAAAATGCCTTCTTGGCATCAGAGAAATGGGATTCCTATTCAGGTTCCATTTGCCCTCCTTTCATTAGGCACCAGTGCATGGCAGTGATCAGCATTAGCTATCCACTTACCAGGAAAGCTCATTTGTCCATATTGTAGTGGGATATTTTCTTTACTAATTCAATTCTGCTTAAAATCTTTGAGCCCAAAGCTGAGATGTTCTCACATAGCAGCTTCTGTTCCGTGCTTGTTCCACACTTAAAGATAAACTGCAGCAGCCCTATTGGATTTAGCTTGGCGTCTGAAAGCATGTGGTCATTATTACTCAGATACTGGAGCATCACCTTGCCTCAAGAGAGCAGACCCGACTCCCGCAGATTGCAGATGTAATTCTGTCAGGCCAGATTCAGCCTCCATTATCAAGTTTTACCTTTAAAAAGGTCCAGTGTGTAACATTTAGGTGGATCTACTGGAAGAAATTGTATACAATATTCATAGGTATGTTTTTCAGTGTATAAATCACATGAAAATATAGATTTTTGTTTTTATCTCTAGAGGGAGCTGGTCCTTATTTATGGAGTCCGCCATGTTCACCTACATGTTTCTACAGTAGCCCAGAACGCAAAAACCAAACACTGGCTCTAGATAGGACCTTTCATTCTCCTGCATGCTTGGAACGAGTTGGTTAGGCGAAGGTGTGTGCTACACCACTAGATGCCACTAAATCCTACACACTGGACCTTTAAGCAACTGAACTCTATACATGTAATAAAAGCACTTTACAAGAGAAAATTCTGTTTTCATTTACCTTCCTTCCTTTTCGACCTGGGGACAGGTGATGCAGGTGACCCAGGTGATCGAGGAAGGGTGTCAGATTTTGTGGGGGTAGTCAATCTCCGGTCGGTCTCTTTCTTAGCTGGAGACTCCATTCTCTCTGTAATGTCCGTCTTCGGGGGGCTACTCTCCCCCTCCGGGTCAGGCCTTGTTGGGTTTGTGTTCAGATCTGAGTGGGGAGCTGGTCGAAGAGAAAGACACAAAATAAATACAAGTAAATGACAAGGTAAAAGGTAAGACAAGCACAGGGATAGAACTAAACCAGTTGGTTTTCATTCCTCTCGCTGCTGGGCCTATGAAGTAGTTTATTGTAAATGACGTAAACTTCCTCAAGAGCTGCAAGTATCGAGTGTAAGGGGTGGAGTCCTGGCTGTAAGGAGAAGTTTGTTTTCTTGGGGAAATTGTTCAATTTGATAACTCAAATACCAGCACTGTAACAACACAATGAAACAGAAACCCCCCAAAGAAACAATCTAACCGCCTCTGTCTCCATACAATGTTTCTTTCGTTTGTTGAGCAACATTATCTGCTGCAGAGATTACACCATTTGCTCAGAAGCACAATATAATAGGTCTTGCCCCCTTCTAACTCTATGCTTAATACCATCTCTACTCTGCACAACTGATTTATCGACAGACCGGCCTAAGCAAATGGCCTGACTCCCTGGCAGAACAAAACACAGTAATTGCTTTTTGGCATCCTGATAACTTTATTGAGGTGAAATGAATTGCTTCAGAAGACAGAATCCAAGTGATCAGTTTCCCAGAAGTAGTCAAACTTCTTTTTGATGAAAACTACTCGATAGGAGCCAGTTAAGGCTCACGGGTCATTTCTACTTTGGGATTTTAAAGTTTTTTGATAAAAGAATAGCTGGGCTGGTTTGTTGGGACAGCAGCTTCACTCACAGCACCATGACTCACATTTGGCAGACTGCTACTTGAATCTCCAACTCAAACATTAGTTTGGCCCGGCTTTGACGGCCAAACAAAGACCCTCATGGGAGGGACACTTGGCTTTGTCCACTCAGCACTGTACCCCTGCGTTCCCTGTGGAACTATGTTGGAACACAGTTTCTTCTGCATAGTCTCTGAAGGTAAACACTGGGGCAACATGCTGTAAATTATTCAGACTTTGGCTAAAAACAACACAGACAGTAGGGGGCTGTCGCACTGAGACTGTGAATGCACTGAAGATTTACTCTACAAATGCTGCGCTATTCAACAGTTTGCATAGAAGAGCACCAATGAGCTGCGAGACCAATGCTGTGAAACTTCAAAGAGAATTGATTATAGCTTTCTATATATTGTGCTTTTTAAGCCATAAAAAAAATCTACTCGAAAACAAGACATATAATGTTTTTTTTTCAAACACACTGCTTCCCTGTAAGTAAAACTTTGATTTTTATTAGACCTAAGAGGCACAAAGCTGGACAAATGTCTGTATGAATAGCTGTCAGCCAAATAAAGAGGCTGACTTCTCACTACTGCAGCTACAGATGCTTAGTAGCATTTAGTGAGATATCAGGCCTTGTGGCAAAGATTGTTTGAGCTCAGCTAGGCTCACATAAAGGCTATGTCATCGGTCGGGGAAATGCAGACAGTTACTAATGATGACCCTGAGTAAGACGAAGCCTGATAGCCTGAGAGAACTGCAGTATGAGTCTACGAAAGGGTTCAGCTGGGAGACGAGACATTGTGTTTCTCCTCCCGAAGCATGCCACTATTAAATAAGCATTCCTCGGGCAGTGATGTGCTCTGACAGAGAGGGGCCATTGTTGTGGTCTCTTCATAGCAACGGGACAGCAGCCAAAACACTGCCATGACAGTGAGAGGAGAAAGGAAGGAAGGAGGGGGAATGGTAGTGAGATAAACTGAAAGTACAAGATGAACACCAGTAATGTATTCAGGGATGAAATGAGAATGAAAATTGTTTACAACAGGCAAAAAGTAAGAAAATTTTTTAACAACACAGCACTTGGGGCTTGTGACCAACTTCATTTAAACCGGACTAAAATCCTGCTCTTGACTTTTACTCCACCATTCGTCTACATTACTGCATGGAGAGAAAATCCTTACACTGAAGACTTCATGTGATCAGCAATTATCAACCAAATGCCTACAACATTTTTTTGCAAACAAATGATGCAACACACAACCCCAGGTGTTCCATTCTGACTGCTCGGATGATGAATCATACAACCCTTGTTTCTGCATTTCATCTTACACCATTTTCTTACAAATCCCTATGGGCATATATGACAACTGGGCTCCGGGAGGTGATAGGAGCAAGTGCAGCCCTGACAGACTGGTATTCGATTACCTCATATCGTGTGAAAGTTCCCCATACACCTGAGAACTGGAGCCACAAAGAATTGGCTGACTGACGGGACTGTGGGCGACTGGACAGACAATCATGTGGATCTATACTGTCAATGATGAAGAGAATGAGAATGTAACACACTGGTATGTTGGTGGCACTGACAATGAATACCAATGAAACCTGAAACTCTCTGGAGGAAAATGGGATGGGAGCTGAGGGAGAGGATTGCTGCTGCGTAGCAAGGGACTGAAACAAGGGCTGATTGATGCAGCGCTCTGACTGTCTGGGCTACCAGAACACTGGGAGAACAGAGTGTACGATAGATGACTGAAAGTTAATGGGGAAAAAGACATTGGTTGTAAAAAAGAAATAAAAGTTTGAACTTTTTTTTTTTTTTTTTAAAATCAGTTGAGTAACTGTTTATATAAATTGTAAAACAATGTAAAGTTTAAAATGTCCATCTAAAGTTTCCAGGGTGACTTGGTGAGTGTTTTATCTAACCTATGGTCCAACACCTAAATAAATGTATTATGATAAAAACTGAGAAAAGCAGCAAATCATTACCTTTTAGATGCTGCAGCGTGTGAATATTTAGCATTTTTGCTTGATAAATAACTAAATGTTAATTATCAAAATGGTTGTCAAAGTTTTTTGACCACTGGTAGCGCAGCGGAGGAGTGTTTTTACAAAGGGTCAGTGACCGAGAGTTGGACAACAGTAAAGTGTAAGTAGCATTACAATACAAAAGAAGACTGCAGGTTAGCAGACGTGGGTGTAAACAAGGCACAATTTAAATATATATTTAAAAAAAGGGCTGGTGAAGGAGATGCAATACATTTGTCAAGCCTCAAAGATACAAATTACGCATTTTAGTGAGGAGCACTTCAATGTAAATGAATGGAGTCTGAAGTTTAGTGACTGATTCGGGGACTATTGCCTGTCCTTGGCTGGCATAGCGATGGGTACGAGTGTATTTAAAACCTGTTTACACAGTGACCCCTTACAGCAAACAAGATTGGGACATATTCATGCGGGGCTTTGAGGAGAATCCTTAAGTAATATTTGCACAGATGTACTGAATGCGATGACAAAATCTCTGTTCAGCAATCCATGAACTCTGTTCTGGGTTTCGTTGTCACTGACAAAAAAAAAAAAAATGACTTAAGCCAAGCTAACCAAATTATACAGTGTTTACATAACAGAGTGTTCTCACGCGGTATATTTATTTGCAAAATCATTGCGTCGCCTAATTCTATCACAACCCATACAACACTATCTATACACTGTCTATCAGTGGAGCATTAGTATCACCTGAGTAACTGCCTCCTTACAATATTTACATTCCAGCTTCCCACAGGAACTGCACCCAGGAGACAACACCAGCCAAAAGCCATTAGACCACCCCCATGGGACATCACTTACATTATTCATATTCATAAATCAATGCACACCAACTTCCTCTGAGATGCTTCGGCCTCCATCAAGCCCTGAACACGGAAAAACACTTTGGTGGAGCTTGTTATTGGATGGTAGGGAAGAAAAATACACAGGACAAACATTTGGTCAGCATTTCACAAGCTCACATCTCAGATATGTTGAAGGTTTCGGTGTGCACCACCAATCCTTCTTCAGAGGTCCTGAAAGGCTAGGTTATAACAATATTCTTATAAACAATGGGGTCCGGCATGTTTATTTCACATTAAAGATTTCTGCATTTGTATTTTGTTTGTGCTCTTCACACTGGTTGGCAGGGATCCACGTTAGAATCCTAACATTACAAAATAATCATCATAATCCAATGATAGTTGGGTTGTATGCTTATAATGCCAGGCATATGCCACTGTCAAATCCACTGAAACCATACCTACATAGCCCTGATAGAAAATAAAATTACTTTATAGCTTATTTAATCACAAATATAAAAGTTTTAGAGAAATACTTAACATTTGGAACCACGTTTCGAAAAAAAGAATCCAAAAGCCTCTTAGAGAACTTTGTTTACTGTTGGGCACTATTATTGCCACTACATACCATTTCCTTTATCATCATAATCTCTTACTAATCTGGTGAGTAGTAAGTAAATCAATCTTTGGGGCATTTAAAAGCACTGGTGTCATGGTATGGTGGCTTTGTTTTTCCCACTGAGTATCAACTGGATATTCAACAGCTATGAGACCCTACAAAGTGGGTCAGAGGAGGTTCAGGAATCTGCGGCATGCTGTGCGTGTCCATTGGTTGAACACCACACCGTCACCTTGCACCACAGCTCAGTTGGCCCCCTCATGTCTCCCTATGGGGCCTCTCTAGCTGCAGGTGTCAAACAAAGCCTGAGGCACTCAGCTGAACCCATTTACATGCAAAAGGCATACATTGGAATAAGATATCTGTAAAAGGCAGCAGAAATAGTAAAGGAACCCCTGCAGAAGTGGCTGTATACATGCATGCATGAGCACAGTGTGGGAGCAGAACGGCAGGTTGGGAATCAGCAGGTAATTAGCACAGACTCAGTGCCTTTTCCCAGTTAGAGGCATGTTAGGTTGGACAAAATACAGTATGCGAGCAATTTCAAATGTTGGTTTGGAAAATATGTAGCAAAGGCGCTGAAAAGCTCACTGTACATTCAGTCCCAAAATGGAATCACAAAGGAATTTAGTACTTTACAGTTTGGCTGATGACATGAGTAAAGACTTAAAACTGGGACAACTGGTAATACTGCCACACCAAATGTGATTTAGCAGAAATCCAATTTCACAGCATATTATTTTATTAGAGCAGGTTATAAATACCCACAGTGCAAAGCCTGCTTCTTCATGTAGTGCTTCCCTGGTGCCACTTATATAGACTGTGTCACCTCTAAAACTG